TTAAACATCGTTCTTTAAAAAAAGAACAATTTTTCTTTTTTTCTTCTTACACTTGAAGTAAAACTGTCTATATTGCTGGATCTACTAGTCATTTTAACATGAGGTCTTCACCGAAAGTAACCTCTGCTTATGCGTCTTTATTTTTTAATTCAATAAAAACAACAAGGAAATAGCCGTGGATATTGGTTCTCAAACCTATAGCAGGTAATATGTCTGTGATACAGATCTTAAAGTGATATTAAAGTCAAAAGGGTTTCCAAATGCTGATGAAAACACTTACAATGAATGCTGATCTTTGATGTTTAAAAGTTTTAGTTTCCTACTGAGTTAGCTGGTCCCCTGAGCACTGGTCCTGTTATCCTGTTTTAGGGTGGCTCCTTTCTCAAACAAGAGTTCTATAGAGCCACCCTTGTATGTAGGGATGCCCCGAAATGAAATTTTTAGACTAATACCAAAATTTAAAAAAATGGTCAAACTGAAACCAAAAATTTCTTTTTTTTTCCTTCAACCTTTTTAAAATTTTTATATTTTATGTTTATTATTTGTTTTTTACTTTACAGTTAGGGGCTTTTGGCAAATTCCCCTTTTAAAATAGAAAAAGAGATTAAGGACACAGGAGTCCTAAATCTCTTTTTCTGCAGCCCCTATTATGAATGAACAGGAAGCCTCGTCTATACCGAGTGCTTCTGTCCATTCATAAACTGAGGAGATAGTATCATAGTATCATAGTTACATAGTTACATAGTATTTGAGGTTGAATAAAGACATTAGTCCATCAAGTCCAACCTATTAGGATCTCATTCTAGGAGTACCTGTACCCCTGTATATTACGGTCCCTTAAGAAATCGTCCAAAAGTTTCTTGAACAATTCCACATTATTTGCTGAAATCACCGCCTGTGGCAGTGAGTTCCAGACCCTAACTGATCTTACTGTGAAGAACCCCCTTCGCCCCTTGTGCTGGAATTTTTTTTCCACCAATTTTAGGTGGTGGCCTCTAGTTTTTGTAATGGAGTTAATTTTAAACAGTTTATCGCTAATGTTGCTACCACCATTGAACATTTTGTACATGGAGATCATATCCCCCCTTAATCTCCTCACCTCCAATGTGAACATGTTTAAATTTAGTAGCCTTGTCTCGTAGCTCTGGTCCTCCATACCCCTAATTAGTTTGGTTGCCCTCCGCTGGACTTTTTCCAACTCAAGGACATCTTTTCTTAGTACTGGTGACCAGAACTGGACCGCGTACTCCAGATGAGGTCGAACCAATGATCTATAAAGTGGCAAAATTATAGACTTGTCCCTGCAATATATCCCCTTTTTAATACAGGACAAAACCCTGCTAGCTTTGTTTACAGCAGCCTGGCACTGCAAACTACCTTTCAGTTTGTGGTCTACAATGACCCCCAAATCCTTCTCCATTTCTGACTTCCCTAGCGGCATACCCATAATTGTATAACCCATTTGTTTATTTTTAATTCCAAAGTGCATTACTTTGCATTTATCGACATTAAACCTCATCTGCCACATTAATGCCCACTCCCCTATTTTATCCAGGTCCTCCTGTAATGTTATAATGTCTAAGTCCGTGTCTATTACCCTCCCAATTTTGGTGTCATCCGCAAACACGGAAATATCGCTGTTAACACCCTCCCCGATTTCATTAATAAATAAGTTGAACAATATGGGACCCAGCACAGAACCCTGAGGCACACCGCTCATTACACTAGCCCAGTCTGAAAAGGTGCCATTTACAGATACCCTCTGGACCCGGACCCGTATCCGTTACTATGTCCACAATCATTAATGAACAGGAAGTAATGTAGAACACATCCTGTTCATCCATAACTGAGGACACAGTAAGCATACTATTTCCTCAGTTATTTACACTCAGTGATCAGCTCTCCATTCTGACTGCTACGTCTGTCATGGGAGCCAAGCTTTCCTACCGTACCACCCCGCGCGGCATCCTGACAGCTTCTCTCCTCCCTGCTGGACGCCGGCAGCTGGATCAGCTCTATGTCACCTCTGATCCCTGCTGCCTCTGCCAACAGAGGCGGGAGAGAGCAGCGGGAATCGGAAGGGACGCAGACCGGCACCCAGCGGGAAGATAGGGATGCACCGCATTCCGACTGGGTGTTATAAAACACCCACACACTGTAAAGCAAGCTGCTCTCCCCTGCTCCCCTCTACCCTTCTCCAAGCTAGTAGATGAACAGCTCCTGGAGTCTGAGCTGCCCCCTAGGATCTTGTACTGGACAGGAAGTTCAGGGAAGCTCAGCTGAGAGTCTTGGGTCCATCTGTTTAGAAACATGGTGACTGTAAGTGCTTGTTCAAGAAATATAAAGAAATACTTTGCTAGGCAATGTATATTTTTTAGATCTGGATTCATTATTGAAAAAAAGGTTGGGAGTTTAATACTACTTACATTTTTATATAGAGTGGCAGACTCCCTACGTATCTCAAAGATGATATTTAGCATTGGCCAGCCTCAAATGAAAAAAACTAAACAAAAGAAAAACCACTTGTACAAAATCCCACCCTTCAATTAAACTTCATTCAATCGTGGTGTCATTAGAAAGCATCCTATTAGTATACCATGGGGTCAAAACAAAAGATTGCATACGTTTTCTTTATGTAATAGTTGGTAATGTATTAATAAATGATTCCCAGACCCCAAAGACTTCCTGTTTTCACGTGTCCTTGTTAAGCGTTGTCTCAACTCAGTTTGAAATACACACATCAACGTACTCAAAAAGAGCATTAAAAAAGGTGGTTCAGGATATATCAACTGGTGCAAAATCATTTTCTTCCCCACTAATGATATAATAGACAGTAACATCCTACATCCCAGAGTGATTTTAACTCCATGCAGATCTAAAATTCCAAAAAAACCCCATGCTGTAGTCAGGTAAAAGTAATTAATCTATCTCTGTTGGGCATATTGGACAATATTGTTCCAAAAAAGCTTTATGCTGGGGCACCCCCAAAATGTGTGCTATAAATCTGCTGATTCCTGTCCACATTTCAAACATTTAGGAGAGCAACGAAGACCCATAAGATAGGCCCTGTACGGAGATATAAAAGCTCCACAATAGGCTCTTGCTATCTGCCTATGCATTTTATCACATCTAGGTTTGTGATAATGCCACGTAAAGTTTTCATTGCAAAGTCTGGTAGCCTATAGCAATCAGAATTCACACTGCTATTCACACCAATACAGAATGGCTTTTATTTTATTTCTATTGGTTGTGCACATAAAGCGAACCTGTCATTTTTACATACTGCTGCTGGTGCCTCAAACTTGGCATTTTCCCCACCTTCTCACAGTTCAGAATTTGGTCCTGGGCATTGTTGCATGGTAGGGAAGAGTTTTCTTAGTCCTCTGCGATTTCTCAGCTTTTAGAAAGTTAAAGTAATGCTTAGAAAGTGTGTAGGCTCCGGTGTACTGGTCTGCTGTACAATAATCCTGTTACTTTGCCTAGTATGGAGAGAATACAGACTTGTTTTAAGAATTGGCACGTCATTGTAATTGTTTTAATATTATTAGTATATCTTGTATGCTGCCTGCATGCTTGTATAGTTGTGCACTTTAATTTGTTTCTCATCTGTTCTGTCATCACAACCCATCCATCTTTACTATGCCTAGTGTGGTAGCTTTGCAGCAACTCATTAGGCTCTAGTGCAGGTCCAAATCAGACAAGTCCCAGCCCCTCTTCCACACCCGAATTCATTCTGCATTCAGGCTCTCGGATAGCAATATAAATGATTCTGACACAGCACTATGAACATATTTGTGTTAAAGGAATATTAAAGTCAAAAGAATTTTAGCTATTTAAAATGCTGATTAAATCACTTACAATGGATGTTGCTCCTGTTTTAGGGTGGCTCCTTTCCCTTGCAGGGTCCTATGGATTCACCTTTGCGAGTGCTTGTAAGCTGCGTGTTCCTCTATTAGCACACAGCAAGGCAAGGTACTCCCTTTCTTCCGGCTCCACACTCCTCCCTTCTTCCGTCTCCATGCTAGTAGATGGGCGGCTGCTGGAGACTGCTCTCCTTTGTGACCTTGTACTTGGCAGGAAGTGAAAGGAAACCGAGCTGCAAAAGTTGGAGCCAGCTGCTCGGTAACCTAGTGATTGCAAGTGCTAGGGCAAAAATGTAAAGACATTTGCTGTAACATGTATATTTGTTTGACCTGGGTTCATTATTGAAAAATAAAAAAAAGTTGAGTTTCATACTACTTTTTAATATCGCGGCTATGTAGATTAAATGCCAGGTACAGTCAGGTGATTTAGTGAGGAGGCCAGGGTGAACCTTGGCTAACATCAAAGCCCCCTTTGGCTTTATCTCTATTACAGTGTTTATGGCATAAATTTAAAAAAAGGTCAAATAGTTTCCAGCATTTGTGGGAGAAAAAAAAATACTTGACTTATCTTAAATCATTTGCAGAACCAGATACTTATGTGTAAATCCCAGCTACATTCTTCCTCTAGGGCTGGATATTGTTTCTGGACCAGTGGCGCCAATCTCACTGAAGCTGAATCTGCTCGCCTATTTAGGCCATGCAGAACTATTGCAGATCTAAATGGCAGATCTAATATGAGGATTATTACACAGGTGATATTTGCTTCATGACAGATCACATTTAAATGGTCAGTCGACCCAGGTTTTCGCTGGTAGGTTGACTCAGACATTGTTTTTGTAATCTTTTTTGGAATAGAGCTGTTGTATCTCTGTAGCACAGTTTCTGCATCCATCTAGATCTTGTTTTTTTGTTATTTGGCTCTTTTTCTAATCATACTTAACTTAGTGGACTGTCCTTTCAATGTTAATTGATATCACTGACAAGAATCCTTAGTTTTATCAGCCAGGTGGGGGCTCCTAGTTAGCACCTACAAATAAGTTGATGCTAGCAACAGGGTGATAGTAACAAGATTCTCATAGCCCATTGTTGCACAGGTATTAAGAATGACTCCATCACTTGTTTTTTGTTTTCTTTCAGGCTTTGAGCTTGGTTTTGCCATGGCGAGTCCTAATGCCTTGGTTTTGTGGGAAGCTCAGTTTGGCGATTTTCATAATACAGCACAATGCATAATTGACCAGTTTATCAGCTCAGGACAAGCAAAGTGGGTACGGCACAATGGAATCGTTTTGCTCCTACCGCATGGTATGGAAGGAATGGTGAGTGCTGCTAACACATCTGTTAATCATACTGAGCAGTTGCGTGATTTATACAGAGGCAGGGTTAACTAATATCTCCTGCTCCCCAGGAGTGTAATTTCATGAATAATTATTCAGTGTAAACTTACTGTTGATCCAGGCTTGCATTTAGGTGGGTAAGAAGGTCTCATACTACATTTATATTTATATAATCAAGAGATCGTTTTCACAAGTGATGGTATACTAAAATGCAAAATTTTGTTTTCATAAATTTTACAAATATTCCACTTTCCATAATGCATATTCTTCATGTAAATGTTAACTCCAGCCCAGCACTTGCTCTATTATTTATGGTTTTCCCTGTTACCACACAGTCAGTTCTTTTTATCTGCAAGGAACTGGTTGCTTGAAGCAAATTTAACTGTAGTGATGCCAAGCTGGCGCTATGAACACCTGCATTCTATCTGCATAGCTGACATAAAATCTGCATTAGGAACTGTGCCATTATATTGGTTACTGATGTTATAAATTGTTTTCTTGTAGATCTTTGTAATAGAGAGTGATGTCACTCATGCAGTTACCCTTTGCAGCCACTAGGAATTACATTTTACCTGTCTTGCGTCCAAACCCCAAACTCTCCTTTTCTTTTAATTTGCACAGTTTTATCTGCTGCTATCTATATCACTGTTGGGGGAGGGGGTTTCGCCTAATTTATTGTACCAGTGACACCTTAATGCACACCAGCAGCTTTACCCGATCATGCTGTGTCAGAATCGGACTCCGGGGACATTGTACACACAAGGGAAAGGAGTGGCACAATAAGTCAAAGGATGAATAGACTTAGCTCCTGGGTTTCAAAACATAATGAACACATGATTCCCTAAAGCAGCAAAGAAATCCCAGAAATGGAGCTGTCTAATAAGTAAGTAACAAATAGATATATCACAATGAATTTTAATGATTATAGAAAAATACAAAAATTTAATCACATAGCACAAACATTTAAAACCTTAAAATGACTGAGGCTTCCCTACAACAGCTCAAATAAATGAATGTCAGTGGTGATGGTAATATGATTACCCTCGGCGGGTGGCGAGCAGTCATTGGTATGTGGATCAGACTTTAAAGAGTGGATCAGATACAATTGTATCTTAATATGCAAAGGCTACTCACTCCGTTTGTAGTTTCAATGTAGCGATCCACACTAAGTCTCACACTGGATAGTTAGTTGGTTTCTCATTAAACATCCAAGATGTATCCATATGGTGATTTATAATCACAGGAATCGCTTCATTTTGACAGTAGAGATCATATTTCTTTCACAGGGTTGTATGGATATTAACCTGCAATGGAGCCGGTTGTTTCCTTCGTATAAAGTGTCCGGGGATGTCTCCTATAAGTGCGGCCGCAGAGTACAAACAGAGTAGGAGATGTCTCCAGGATGTATATCCAATGGCACCCAGATCTCGGGTCTAATTGCTGCTAGGGTATGCGGGCAAGCCCGGCTCGATCCGCTCAGGAGTGTGCTGTTCTCCAGCCGAAAGTTTGAAAAACTCAGCAAGTAGATCCAAGGCTGTGAGGGAAGCCGGTAACACGTTATCCCTAACTCGTTTCCCCCCAGCAAGTCGGGCTTCTTCAGAGGGGCGTTGACAATAAAGTGTCAGATAAGAGCAGGCAAATTACATGAGGTAAGAAGAAGACGAAGGAGAGTAGAGGGGATAAGGGACCAAACATGGCAATTTTCATAGACAAATCCTAGGGCTAGTACAGTCAGAAAGGCTTCACATGCAAATGGCTATAGCATTGATTCTGCTGTTGTAGCATCTTGCTCTAGAAATGAGAGGCATGGTGTGTGGTCATGGTGCATCTAAAGCTTATGTCTGGACCTTCTGTTTTGCTTCAAGGGAAGATGGCTGCCTCGCCTTCTGCAGTGTGTGGCTCAAGCACACATCTGGAAACTTACTTGCTTATCCAGCATATGCAAGGCCATAACCTTTTTTTCAAAAACACGGTAACCTAAAGACTAGCAGACACAACCTCATCCTCCACCCTCCTCCTCCTGTTAAAGAAGTTTTAAAGTCCCAGCATATCCTATCCTGTAATAACAGCAGAATTGGAAAAGGAATACATACTAAAGTTGTTTTAGATAATACAATCAAAGCTTACTTGAAAAAAAACCTTTTATGTAGTGAGAGCTGCCTTCCGTCTGCTCATCACTTTTAACAACTTGCTGGATTCCGAGTGTACTTTGCATCCCTTTCCCTGCTGCTTGATATAATGCAATCTTGATTTTTCAACACTACATAGCCCATCATACATTGCTTCCAAGCAAGCAATGATGTTACATTGTGAGCATTTCCTGTTTTCACCATGAGTGAGGGGGAAATAGTTGAGTAGTAGTTCAGACAGCAGGCTTTGTGAGAGTGGTGACAAAAGGAAGTGCATATTCACAGGGCTGAGTGAAATTGTGTCACTGCATTGAGGAAGTACATTCTAGGGGCATCTTTAATAAGTATGTGTACAAACGTATAGACTGATATGTAGGGCTGCAACAACTAATCGACATAATCGATTATAATCGATTATTGAAAAAGTTGTCAACTTTTTCAATAATCGATTAATCGGCTTCCGATCAGTTGGCCCTGTTCACAGCTCCACACGCTGTGCGCCACACCTCCGCTCGCCGCTGCCAGACCCGCTCGCATCCACGCGCCACACCTCCTCCCCGCCTTACATTTCCTGCCCATCCACGATCGGCAAGGCACGCGGGGAGATGTAGTAAGGAGGAGCAGGGGTGGGGGGATGACAGCCGCTGATAGACAGGTCCAATCTCAGAAGCAAGTTGCTGGAAGACTGCTCAGGTAAGCCTGCACTTTCCCACACATGGTGCTCTATAATGTATTGCTGGGATTTGTATTATGAAAATAATCGTTAGCTGCAGCTCTACTGATATGGTTGATAGAAGTTGTATTGAACTTATGGAAATTTAATATAGAAATACATATTTATTTTTTGTTTTTGACCCTAGATACCCTTTAAAACTGTTTCTGACTTGTCCTCCAGCAGTTCTCCCTTACTTGCATAACTATAAAATATTACTAAAATAGAACCCATATATATATATAAGATTAATCCCTCGATTAATCGTTAATTTTTTTGATCGATCAAAGTTCTTTTGATCCGTACTCACCTCTCTGCCGGCTTCAGGGTCTTCCGTCGGAGATCCGGTGACGTCACGGACATTGACGTCATCGGACTCCTTCCCCCAAGTGGCTGTCGGCTAATGAAGGGAAGGGGAGGAGTCCGGTGACGTCGTTGTCCGTATTTCAGTTTGCCATGTAATCGCTGGGGAAATCTGATCTGTAGTCTCAGGGAACGGCATTTTCCTCCCCTGAGATGATGTGCATGTTCACATGTCCTAGTCACGTGTGCCAGAAATCCAGGAAGTAATAGGAGAGCTAGTAATCTGCCATTAGTAAACCTGGCCACTGTGAGAAGACCGTGGAAGTTATGCAAGAGTACAAAGCCGGCAATTATCTAGAAGTATGTGTTTGTAGATTGTCATTACTAAACATTTCTGAAGGTGTGTTTGTTGTCATTTTAAATATATGGGTAAAGTTCCACTTTAATGTATGATAAGATAAAAGTACTACATTTTGTATGGTCTATGTCTCTCTCTGTACTGTACAAATCGTCCCATATGTTTATTACCTTCATTCAGATGTGCTCAGTGTATCAATTTGAAAATGACTTTTCATTTTATTGAGGAAATTTCCTGTGGAAAGAAATGTTTTCCTTTTAAATAGCAGCCATGACCACCCTCTCCAGTTCATGTTCATATTTCTTGAGGGACATTTCCGATTGCACCAGAATTTATTGCTTCTTAGAAGCCTTTAATGCTGTTTCTCTACTCCTGCCATCAGTAATGTAATTCAGAGAGAAGCTTTCCTAAACTCTTCTGTTTAATGTTATTACCAGGGACCTGAGCATTCTTCAGCCAGACCTGAAAGGTTCCTGCAGATGAGCAATGATGACTGCGATGCTTATCCTGTAAGTTGATTTGTCTAACACTATGCCTTGCTTTATCTTGACCTCATGCTCTGATTGTACCTGTTCAAGAATCAGGAAGCTTTAATTTTTGTGGGCTGGGGAACAATCTATATTGTTGATTCTTTGCTCTTCTTCTGGGTAATGTATAATGAAATAAAGGTTATGACTCTTGCCCAGATATAAATCATATGGAGACAGGGATGTATGATATTATGCAATGCAAACATATTTTACAGAGGAGTAGATATGTCCGGTGAATGAAACCTGTGTGTGCTTGTGAAATGAGGTAGCAAGGCAAATTTTTTTTACAAAGTGGCCTGTAAACAATTTAACACTTAGAATCGGAAGCCTGCATGAAGAGCTGTATGTGTACAAACTGGAGAATGTGAGAAGTAGAAGTATTGCCTATACCACCTTTGTTTTCAGGTGATTCAACCTTTTTTTTCAGATGATTAAAGACTCTCAAGTGACATACTAGCAGGTTTTTATTGTGATAAGTTATTTTTTGATTTAAACATGTTTAACATAGAAAACCTATTTCTTTAGGTATTTACTCCAGACTATGAAGTTACACAACTGTATGACTGCAACTGGATCGTAGTCAACTGTTCAACGCCTGCTAATTACTTTCATGTCCTCAGGCGGCAAATTTTATTGCCCTTCCGCAAACCGGTAAACTTTATACCATGATTATAGAAAGCAGTCATTTTTTGTTCTTTTTACAAATAAATACATGTGTCTAATTATATTTCAGCTCATTATTTTTACCCCCAAATCATTGTTGAGGCATCCTGAAGCCAAATCTAGCTTTGAAGAAATGAAAACAGGTTGGTAAAGAGTTGTTTAGTAAGTAACTGTTTACTTAAGTAAAATGCATGTCATATGAAAAAGGTTTTGTGTATGTTTAATATATTAAAAAAATTAAATCCTTGCAGCTTAAATTAATTAGACAAGAAGTGATTCCCATATGCAGCGACCCATTGCAGTCAAAAACATTTTTTCCTGACTCCTCAGTCTGATTTGTTGCAATGGGGTATTTTATTTTGCTGGCAACTCATTAAGTTCTCTAGTATTTCAACCAGATGTTGATCTTATTTAGCAATTTCTACTATAGTAAAATCCTTAGCCTTGCAGCTTAATGCGATTTTAGGTAATCACATGCAACAAAGCTGGACAATTCAAACTGATCATATTATGAAAAAAATACATGAAGAGAGGTCACTCTAGTAAAACTGCCATGTACAAAAAAAAAAAAAAAAAACACTCAGCAGATTGAAATATATAAGTAGCTGAATTTATAAGCAAATCTTATCTTTCCTGCCAGAATTGAGCTTGGCCCTTTTCCCCACCCACCTGATGCTCCTTCTGGTCATTTCTTTAAAGAACAGCTCTAGCTTTGTGTAGTCTTGGGAAGAATAAATACTTCTATCAAGCATGTAGTTCTGTTTGTAACCCTGTCTGGGTCGTATCACCTTTCCCGTTCCTCTGACACCCTATCATAGCAAAACAAGAAATGAGGGAAGCAGTTTTCACTGGGACAGGAAGACACAGTGATAACCTGTAAGAGATTCTAACCCTTCTCCAGTTTTACTGAAGTGTTTTGTTGCATTCTGTGTCCCTACTGGAGAGGCTGCCCATAACTTTCGGTCCAAATCTCTCCAATAAGCTTGTTCTCAAGGCTAGAGATTCCTTTGGTGCTCCTGTTTCATCTTAATCAGGACATTCTCCTTCCCTCCTTTTATCCTGCTTCAAAACATCCTAGGAAGGCCTCCCTCCACTGCTTGAATGCGGTTTGAGCTGTCCGTGTTTATCTTTTGGCTACAGCTTCATTCAGACAATAGGTGCTCTTTAAGGTGATGCTGGGGGTCCAAAAGACCCTTAGTATCAACTTTGTACTCTAAATAAGCTATTGAAGTGCAGATCGCACTTTAATAGCGTATAGCTGGGCTTCAGGAGCCCAGCACTGACAGCTATGGGACCGGAATTGATGCAATCTGCATCGGTCCCATAGAACGGGGAGGGGATCGACGAATGGAGGTTCGTCCATCTCCTCCCCAGCTTCCCGCCGACACCGAAGAAGCCGGTCCCAGGCCCGTAGGAGGGGCAACGGAGCCCGGGAAACACGGCGGGATGTCTGGCGGGGGGGGCCTTCCCTGGGCCGTAGAAGCGATCTGGCAACAGCTGAGTCGCCAGAATCGCTTCTACTGTAAAGCCGACAGTCGGCTTTATAAGTTTAAACAGAGTCCCGCCGGCTCTGTTTAAACGGCCCCGATGCCAGCGACGTACACTGTACAACGTTGGTCGTGAAGGGGTTAAAGTAATGTAATTGTTTTTGTAAAGGTTTTGTTTCTTTAAATCAATTGCTTCTATACAGATTTTTTATTCATATTTTCTCAGCATTAGAAACATTGCCAAGGATTCAAGACATATCTTGAATTTTTTAGATTGTAAGCTCTCAGTGGCAGGGCCCTTCTAACCATCTAATCTTAAGTTATATTGTAACTGTAATGTCCTACTTGTATTATAAAACTCTGTGCAAACTATTGGTGCTATATAAATGCTGTATTGTAATAATAATTTAATAATAACTTTAAAATCCGGCCAGTAATGGCACTTCATGTTGCAGACTGAAAAAATGAAACCACTGCTTTTTAATAAGCAGCATCACTGTCAGCCTGCCATGTGCACCCTTTCAGTTGGTCGTCCAATGGCCAACTAAAGGGTACCATCATATATAGTAAATGGTACTCTCCAGGTAAGAGTCTTTATAATAGATTCACAAAAAAATATTTTGAGACACAATGGCAAACATACAAAAAAATAGATTTAGGGATTTGCATTTTAATTTGTGGTGTCAATTAGTAAATTGTGCTTCTTCACTGGCATGAAAACTAGCTTTCTTTCTAAAAACACAAATAGTCCATTCTTGATTCACAAAAGCACATTCTTTACTCATATAAAAATGGCTTTGTTTGAGCAACTTTGTTCAATATAAACAGGGATGTATCTTATAGATTGAAACAACCACAGTTCTTAGGCTGAACCATTAACCTCTAGGATTTCTCTGTGACATAAGGTACAGTCTTCCAGCGTGTGATTCCTGAGAGTGGAGCAGCTTGTCACAATCCTCAGGATGTGAGACGGGTCATTTTCTGCACTGGGAAGGTTTATTATGAGCTTGTCAAGGAGAAACATCAAAAACAGCTAGAAAGCCAAGTAGCAATCATACGGCTGGAGCAGGTAACATATTCCCCAGTATTAATCTGTTTGGCAGAAAATATTTTGTCAGCCAGTTTTGTTACAAAACAAATTATCAGGATAATTGTGGCACAAAGATAAAAATATTCTCCCTGTCACATCAGTAAAAGATGTGGAGAAAATTCTGATTTGCAAAAACAAGAAATCAGGAAAAAAAATATTTTAAATACAGATTCACGTCCCAACGGTAATTGAGACCTTGGGGGATATGGGTGTTTTCATTTAAAAATCCACCATGTTTCCCTTTCTAACAATTTCCGATGTGGACTACCACCTTGATCGTGTTTTACTATTCTTTCTATACAATGGAACTCAAATGAGGATATATCCCCCCCCCCCTCCATGTACATGTACAAAATGTTTAGAGACGTTTGATGGATGTAACATGTTGGGATTAAGGCTATCACAATAATGCTCACCTATACTAATTCTTAAAGGGCAGATGTTTTTTTTCCACATTAGATGTTAATTGATTTGTGCACAATATTTTATTACTTAAGCATTATGGCCATGAGGTTGATGGTAAATTCTCTGTTGATGTTTATGAGGAAACAGTCAAAAACTTTTTTGGGTTTCAGGAAAAACTGTCTTGGTGTGTTTATTGTGTATTGAGCCCTCCCACACCTTATCAAAGTGTCTCACATTTCTCTGTATAGCAACCAGTCATGTTCGAATGGTAATTTCCAAACTGTTCGTTTATATGGTGTATTGGGTTCTAATTTGTCACTAAGGGGCAGAACACAGTCAAGTTTTTGTGTGAGGCTAGTTGATGTGCAAGTTCCAGTTTGTCTAAAGGTAGATATATTGTGGATATTTTTAGTTATTCAGGGATTTACCCTAAAAATTACTTTGCAGATATCACCATTCCCATTTGACTTGGTTAAAGAAGAGGTTGAGAAATATTGCAATGCAGAAATGGTATGGTGCCAGGAAGAACATAAAAATATGGGCTACTATGACTACATCAAGCCACGTTTCCTCACCATTCTGAACCATGCAAGACCAATTTGGTAATCCTTTACTATCATATTACTTTGCCGCGCACTGCAAACATTGCAGGTAAAAACACAGTCTAAGGTACTGTATACATAAGTCATATATGCACAAATCATAAGCAGCCAGTGCCATCAGGAGAACACTGTTCTTATCAGGCTTCCTGCTTGATCATTCATCAACTATATGGAGCTCCAAAGTAAGGTCTAGAAACAGTACATAGTGCAGTGAGTTACTCATGAAGACTGATGAAACATTAGAGAAATATATGGTTATCGCCATTCTACACACAAACCACACTTCTGTCAGTGCTTTCCAGCAAATACTTCTGGGGCATGGATCTGTGTCTTTAGAAAGGTACACAGTATGAGGTTTACAGTAACAGTGTATACTGTATATACTTTAAAGGAGCGTATCGATTTTAGTTTCCGCAATACAAATTTGAATGAATGTATTAATCTCCCTCTCTGCTCATAGGTATGCTGGTCGGGAGCCCGCAGCAGCTACAGCTACTGGCAACAAAAACACTCACCTTGTGGAACTGAGGAGGTTTTTGGAGACTGCTTTCAATCTGCGCTCCTTTGAAGGAAAGACTTTTTGATGGTATATATAGAGAAACAAAAATCCACTACCACTATAACATAGCTTTGTATTAATAATTATACTGAATACCTCTAAATAAATCTGTATTTCAAGCTTTTTTTTCTTGTAGCGTACTGAATATGCATTTGTTAATGAATTGTTCTTTTCCACAGGTAATTTATCAGAATTGCAGTTATTGTTCGGAACTAGTATTAAACTAGAAAAACTTCTGTCCCTAGGCTCCCTCTTTAGCAGCAACGCACACTGTTTATTACCAAGACTGAGGGCCCTGTGTAAAAACACATGGAGAAGGAAAACTAGGGGGGAAAAAAGCGGAGCTGTTGCCCATAGTGACCAGGCAAACTTGGTCATAAGTAGAGCTCAACAGCTACCATTTTATTTAATAAATGATAAACAGGATAACAGTAATGTATTTCTTTGTACCAACCTGTTCACGTATTTAACCCTGTTATGACTATTTTTCTCTGGAGTTTTTGTACTGCTTAAACTTTTTGGTATCTTTATTTTCCTACTGTTGCCGCAGAGATTTGTGTCTTTAGAGAAACAAGGAATGCAGAGTTTTTTATTTTTATTGCTCATGGCTGCCTGCAATCTCAGCTGGGAGGGGAGCCACACCTTACTGCATGTTAGAATTTGTCTATATCTCAGGGACTGTGGACCTCCAAACAGTTTTCACACAGATAGGGTTTCTCTGAATTTCTGAATAGGGATCATTTAGATATAAACACTGCTTCCTGGACATCTTCTTTAAGCTGTCTCTAAACATTAGGCTGCAGTAAGATGTGCTCTGAAGATCTTGCCAATGATCTTATTAGGCACATACATAAATATGAAAGCACATCACATGGATGACACCATGCTTGTCCTGGAGCAGCAATAATCCTTGCAAGAATCCAACCAAGTTGATAGCCTTTCCGCAAAGACCTATTTACAAGGGAAGTCTAAAGGAGTTGAACTGTGCTTGCAGAAAATCCTACTGGAATCATCCGGAGTGTTAATCAATTATACGATCATATACTGTTTTAAAATTCTGCTGTGAAAAATTTTGACATGCTATGTACACAACAATTTGTGAAGAAAAATTATTTGAAGTACATAAAACCGAGCTCTAGACAAATAAATGGTGTGTTAATCATTTTAAGTTACTGTTTTGTTTTTTATTTTATTTAAATAAAATGTACGCCAAAGGTCAGAGTTTTTGAATTAGCAACTGATATTTAAGCCCATTTAAAGTTAAAAAAAATTAAATATTTAGTTGAACACTGTACTAACATCCTCTATTTTCATAGTCCTGCCTCCTCCATTTTTCTATTATAGCAGTTGCAGTGTGTCTTCATAGTCCAGGAGGCACCAGAATTTAGTTCTACTTCAAAGGAAATCTGAGATTTCACCGTGTCACATAATGAAAAACTATTAGGCTCTGTTCACATCTATGTAATGCGGGAGCGTGTGGGATGCTGCACATTGCGTGCTGCCGTGTTAGGTGCGAAGCGGTGCAAGTATTTCTTAATGGCATCCCATCTGCGTTGTATCGCACCCCATTGCATGGTGACCTATTACAGTGTGATGCTACTTACAAAAGAGGTTCATCCACTTTTCTCAAATGAATGGACTGCCTTCCACAGTGCACCCTGCAGCACCTCTGCGTGTTGTATTGCAGAGGTGTGAACAAGAGCTTAAACAAGCATGTACCTGTAAGGCTGGGTTCACACTTGGGCGTTCGTAATATGCGAGTTTGACGCGCGTTTTGGGCCTCCCATTTTTACAGCAATTTGCGGTCAACGAAACGTGCGACAAACGTGCGTTTACGAGGGCTATCCAGCTCTATGCTAATGGATACGCGCGGAAAAACCGCCCCAAAAAAGCTCCTGTACTTCTTTGGGCGTAGGGAGTTTTTCAGCGAATTCCTACGCGCTGAAATACGCCCAGGTGGGAACCATGCCCATAGGAAAGTATGGGATTTCACTTGCTGGGCGTTTTACAGCGCGTCGATCAGCGCTGTAAAGCGCTCAGGTGTGAACCAGGCCTAAAGAAGGAACAGGGTACTTATCTCTCCTGCTTCCTGTACTGCTGAATGCTGCTCTGATCCTCAGAAGTCATCCTCCACATTCTGCAGAGAAACTAATTTGGGGGGCTTCAATCTCTCCCAGGATATGAGCTGCTTTCGGCAGTATGGGCAGCATGGTCTGGAGTGTCTGCAGTTAAAACAAATAAATAAATGAAAAGTATAGTAAGAGAAATGCATGAGCTGCCTTGGCTTGCCTACAGAAAATGCAAGTTGTCTGGCTGTCATGCTGATCTATGGCATGCAAACCCTAGCCGGCCTTGCTTGCTGAATGCTTTCCTGGGGCTGTATTTGAGAAAGCATTAAGGCAAAAAGCAGCCAAACAACAATGCTGACCCCACAAAGGATTCTTTTATTAAAAAAATCTGTAGATGGTGTTTTCCTTGTCAGCGCACCTTTTGCAGACAAAAAAGAAATGGAGACAGTATAGTATGGACGCATGCAAATGTACAAAAATAAGGTACACAAATTCAGTGTTGGATATGTCTTATGTTCACCAGGTTTAACTAAGAAAAGCTCAGAATATGAGATGAGTAAAAGAATGGTCATATGGTGTTATGTTTAAATAAAGGATCTGTGATCAAGCACACTGTCCATTTGTACAGAAAAAATGAAAGGTTATCCAGTCAATAACAGCTGTGAGGGCAGATAACATCTTCAGTATGGCTGTTTGGAATCTGAACTTCAGAGGTTCTAAAGTGAGCTATTAGTGCTGGCTCAAATTGGATTATTTGTGCAGGCAGTGAGATAGAGAAATGGCATGGAGTAGAATGTGCAGCACTAATTAGTAGAATTGCTTTGTTTTTCTCAAGCTTATTTACTAAGAGGAATTATCTAAAGTAATGCATTACTTAAAGTGTACCTGTTTTGACAGAAATATGGAGGCTGTCACAAGCCTGGGATCAACATGCAATAAAACAAAAATCATACCTTGTTCCAGGTCAGTGACCTGGTGAAGCTAATGCCTCACCATGGCAGCCAGGCAACAGATATTTTCAGAAGAGGCCTGGAATGGTAACTTACATATTTCTCTTATGACAGGTTTCCTTGAATGAGATGAGGTGGATATAATAGTGTCTTAAAGTGACATTAAAGGATAATCCCCCCACCCCCAATGTTAGTGTATGGATTTAGATTTCAGATGTCCCTCCAGCGTTGCTGCGGGTCTCTGATCTCTGATCCACTCTGTTCTCCTCTCCTCTGATGTCCCTATTAGATATATGCAAAAAACGCTGAGGGTTTAATAACCCTTTAAATAATAATCTACTGTATTTCATAATTTGGTTCTGTCCAAAATTGGATGAGATGTAATTTCTTTGTTTTTCTTGATAGTGGAAGAATGACATCTCTAATTTGCAATAGTTACATGAGACTAATTAAAACTCCAGAGTTAATTGGGATGTAAACAAAAAAAGATTCCCCCCAATATTAAGAGTCCATACACATGCAACTAGCAAATACACTGTCCCAGCTTGTAAGAATGTTGGAGTAGCTTTATGTTTAAATATTCCAAGGGTGTACAACAGGGGTGCCCATTAGGTAGATCGCGATCTACCAGTAGATCGCAAAGCGAACACTGGTAGATCGCGATCGGCTCACTGACCTGTGTCCTGTCCTCACGTGGTGCTCGTGCGACTGAATGTGTCAGACGCCGCAGATGGGAAAGGAGAGAGGAGACTTGGGAAGCTGCTGCAGTGGAGGTAAGAAAAGAGACAGGAGAGAGACAGCAGAGAAAGTGAGAGAAAAGACAGCAGAGAGAGAGGAGAGACAGCAGATAGAAACAGGGGAGAGAGAGGAGAGAGAGAAAAGAGGGCCGGTTCACACCACACAGTCTGCGTTCGAGAGTGTTCAGTCTCTAGAACGCAAGACGGCCGGCTCCCTGCGTTCAGGGGTGGGAGGGGGTGTGGCAGGGCATTGAAGTCAATGGCACCGCAGCCACCTGAATGCAGTTGTTTTTTCCTTGGTAGATCTCATTGAGCTCGTCATTTGAAAAGTAGATCTCCAGACGAAAAATTGTGGCCGCCCCTGGTGTACAACATTGTATTACATACAAAAAAATACAAAGTCATTGCAAGCCAGACATATTATAGTAATTTTGTTTACATTTCTAAAAATAGGAAATAAAATACACCAACCTAACACATCATAATTTGATTATCAATGAGAAGTTGGCGTTATATAAATCCTGTTTAATAATAATATGGTAATTGTATTTGGTGTCTTGGTAAACCTTACTGTGAAGGGCCTACTGAGAAGTTACATAGAGAGGGGAATTTATCAAAACTGGAGCAGACAAAGCTTCTCTCTTCAGTTTGTTCTGTTATGATTTGAAAATGAAAGCGAGAAGCTGGATGGTTGCCATGTACATCTGCTCATTTTCAGTTTTGGATGGAGTTTTGGACTGGAAGGAAGAGAAAATCTACTCAACCGAACACAGACCCAAATAAAACTGACCTGCTTTAACCATTCCCTGGGATAGCCAAAACCAAAAAAAATAAAGTTTTGGCTTTAGATATAACTTTTAAGTGCAATACCATGCAACAAGAAAGCAGTCAGTCTCTAGATGTGTTTAGTTAGACAGTTCACTTAGTTTACCTTAGTCTGAGTTCCATGTTATTTCTTAGCACAAACGTCTCTATACAGGCTAATTGAGAGGGCAATCATAGTATACTTTTAGGAGCCTGTGCTTTATGATTTCTTGCCTCTTCATTTCCTGCATCACCAATAACATTTAAGCGTCCATGGCAGAATTTGGTTAGGGCCCAAGACATTTTGAAATTTATGAGTATTTTGGGCTTTCTGTATATGAGCAGCAGCAAAAAGGGTATTCTAGCATGACAAGCAAGTGTGTTCCAAGATCAGCAATTTACAAACAAAATAAAAAGCTGGGTGGACCAGTGAAATACAGCAACATCTGGATGACAAACTAAACTACTCATCTGGCTGCCTAATTTTGCTGCATGCATATTGTTTTCATTTTGAGTCTTGACTAGTGTGTGCCTTTTGTATGTACCGTATTTGCC